ACTCGTGTCATGTTTCACTTTGCCTTTATACTGTTAAAGTTCGTTAAATAAATTTGTTAAAACTATTACATGGCAAAACTCCTAAAAAAATTGTTAAGAGTTATTTTCTTATTTGGATAAGAAAACTTCGACTTAAATTTGTTTTATTTATTAATTTTTCAATCATATGACACCCATCTCAACAACAATGGGTTTCATTTGTGCCACATAACAATTTTGATAGATTAATTAACGAATTTTGACGATAAAGGCAAAGTGAGACACGAGTTGAGTTTCAGTTCAGGGAATAAAGTGACAAAATTTGTGTTTCAATGAGTTAAATGAGATCCGAGTTGAGTTTTAGTGGATAATGAATTGTATAATGTTGAGAGAGAGAATCTCGCAACTAAAGAGACATTACGACTTCAAGGCTTCAAGACACAAATTAGGGGTGGATTGAATCTAAGAATGCAGGAGGTGAGACATATAGGGCCTGCTTGGTGAGCTGTATTGAGCTTTAAGGATAAGAGTGGATTGGCAGAGACATGTAAGACATAACTTGTAATTCATGCATAAGAATAGGTTAGATAACTACTTTATTTTGGATTTATAATTCATCATGTCTAATCATATCCATCTCATATTTTTACACAACAAATAAAAGACTGAACTAAAGTCCATCCTAATTGTTCACAACTTATCCGAACTAGCTCATCAACCAGGCCCATACGGCTTGAAGACACAAATTAGGGGTGGGTTGGACCTGAGAACGCAGGAGGTGAGGTAGGTGGAGTTTTATGTATGTAGGTCGGATGGGTGTGTTCGTCCGGCCGGCCGAATATAAGAATTTCTGGACTGAAATAGCACTAGAGTGGAGTCCTAAATCAAGTGAAAGGGGAACATGACCTAGGTGGATCTCCTGTTCCAGGGGGCCTATGCCTTTAATAAAACATATCATATCTAATCACCCACCAAATCTATCTTCATTTGTCTTATGAAAGAACAATGTCCATTGAAAATTAAAAATCTTGGAGTGTATAATGAATTCTCAATGATTATAGGTTTGAACTTCTGAAATTCATGAGAAATTAATAAATTATTGGATAACTACGACAAGTGGTCTAGTGAAAATGCGATAGAATTCCTAGTCAGGTATGCTTTCTGGTCTTGGTTTAAGGTACGAAGCTGGCAAAAATACTAGTGATTTCCTGGCTTGAAGCTTTGGGAGGACGTGTGCCCATTTGATTGTAGCCATGGGTGGGCTGAAATGCATTTAGCCTTTCTAGGCCTCACTAGGAATTAAGTCTACTATTCAAGGTATGGGATACCTCATGCCATTTAGTATTATTGTCTAATGATATTCCTCTTTACTTGTAAGTGAGAGGTCTTAGGTTCGATTCTCACCAAAGGAGAATTTGAACCACATTATTGCTAGCACATTATGAGACTTAGCCTATCCCTTCCCCCTTAGTGTAGATAATATCATTTATTAAAAAAAAAAGATATTAATTAAACATTGATGATATAATGATCAAAGATTTGACGATATTGTGATCAATTATTGAAAACTGATCAATTCAACAAGTGAAATTTGAAAAAATAATCATTTCGGCCAATTTTCACAAAAGATAAAGTTGTTACAACGATAAAAAAAATTGACGATATTGTGATCAACTAGTGAAAAATGATCAATTCAACAATTGAAATTAAAAAAAAATGATAGTTTTGGCCAATTTACACACAAGATAAAGATGGTAAGAAACTTAAGTTAGTTAAAATTATTAATCCTTATACATAGGTCTTGAGTTCGACTCTCCCTCGTTGAATATCATTTGTATAAAGAAAAAATGGATCAGAAAATGTGTGACGGTGATAGGTTTACAAGGAAACTCTCATCTTTTATGTGACGTTAAAAGGCTCTCAATTCCATGTTGATTGATACTTCCACTTTAAGTAAGTGGGTCTTTCAAACCCTAGAGGATCCAGTTGTGTCCCAACAAACACAACATTGGAAAATGCTTTTCCTTATCGACCTCCATTGTCCTCCTGATGTGATGTTCGCACACTTTCTTGAGTTAGGGACAATAATTTCTAAATTATTTTAAGGAAATCTTGGTGCATTTCATGTTGTTCTAATAAACTATGAGAGAGACGTTGCAACAAATGGAAGAAAATCGTGACAAGATAATCAAAATTTAACATGAAATGAAGGGAAATGAAGGGTTTGTAAAATCTTAAAAAAAAAAAAACAAAAATTTCTAGATCAAATCTGCAAAAGGAGCAAGTGCATATATAATAAAATAAGATAGCACTTTACCTTAAGTGGTGGAAAGCAATAATATACTTGGGGCGGGTTTGATCCCTACCGATCTTCATTTCTCTTAATATTTAACAATGTAACCCAATAACATTATCGTTTGTAATAAAAAAGAGAGAAAACTACGTGTATTAGAGGGATCCATAACGGATTTTTAAAGCCATACCTTTCTTAAGAGTGTTCTGAAAGAATTTTAACAAGGTTACGTTTTGTGAGGATTTTTGTAGAGATTCACAAAATCAAAATTAAACATTGTAAGTAGCTCATGTATTTTTAGAATAATGTTTTTGTAGATATTCACACAAAATCAATCAGACCTTGTGAGAAGCTCATATTTTATGTTGTCGTTAAACATTTTTTTTTAAACACAACGTACCCAGAATGGAATTTCTGCTAGGAGTTTTTTAACTTTAGTCCTTTAAGAAGATTGAAATTCAAAATAAATTTGGTGTTAGATTACATATTGATTATAATCCCTTGATATGTTCTTAATTCAAAATAATTAATGTGCATTTTATTTAATGTCTCATGTCACATCCCGGCCCAGGTCCACCACATTCTGGCCCCGTTCCACCACCGTAGCACGATATTGTCCGTTTTGGGCTTACCATTCCCTCACAGTTTTATTTTTTTTTGGGAACTCACGAGCAACTTCCCAGTAGGTCACCCATCATAGGAGTGCTCTGGCCTCCTTCTCGCTTAACTTCGAAGTTCCTACATAACCTAAAGCCAGTAAGCTCCCAAAAGGCCTTGTGCTAGGTAGGGATGTGAATATACATTTAAGGATCACTCCCCTAGGCGATGTGAGATGTTACAATCCACCCCTCTTAGGGGCCCGACGTCCTCGTCGGTACACTTCCGGCCAAGGATTGGCTCTGATATCATTTGTCACATCCCGGCCCGGGTCCACCACATTCTGGGCCCGTTCCACTACCGTAGCACGATATTGTCCGCTTTGGGCTTACCATTCCCTCAAGGTTTTTTTTTTTTTTGGGAACTCACGAGCAACTTCCCAGTTAGTCACCTATCATGGGAGTGCTCTGGCCTCCTTCTCGCTTAACTTCGGAGTTCCTACGGAACTTGAAGCCAGTGAGCTCCCAAAAGGCCTCGTGCTAGGTAGGGATGTGAATGTACATTTAAGGATCACTCCCCTGAGCGATGTGGGATGTTACATCTCCCATTAAAAAAATTAATTTATTAATATACAAATTTTAATTTATTTTTTTACCAAATAAGAGTTTTTTAATTTATTAATTTTATTTAACATTCTTCAAACTTGAAAGAATCAATTAATGCACCTAAATGTGTGTACCGAAATGTATTATATTGAACTAATGTATTTAAATGTTAGTACTGAAATATATGCACAAAAATGTATTATATTAAATTAATGTACCTAAATGTGTGTACCGAAATGTTAGCACCGAAATGTATTATATTGAATTAATGTACCTAATATTTGTATCGAAATGAATGTACCAAAATGTGTGTACTGAAATGTATGCACCGAAATGTATTATATTGAACTAATGTACCTAAATATTTGTATTAAAATGTATGTACCGAAATATGTGTACCTAAATATATGCACTGAAATGTTAGTACCGAAATGTATTATATTGAATTAATGTACCTAAATATTTGTATCAAAATGTATGTACCGAAATATGTGTACCTAAATATATGCACTGAAATGTATTATAATGAATTTAATGTACCTGAATGAAGAAGACAAAGTACATCGAAATATATTGTATAACAAAAATTAATTTATCTAAATGTTTACAATAAAATATATTACGATAAATGAAATAAAAATGAAAATTATAATGAAATAAAAATAGTATATTAAAAATTAGGAAGAAAAAGAGAAATAATTAAAAAAATCAAAATATACTTAATAAATAAGGTTATTAATGTATTAAGAGACTCAAATTAGATTTTAATCTTACTCATGATTTTTAATCTAAAAATCATCTTTGTCAGAGATTAAAATGAAGTTTTCTTTTCTTCTATCAAAACATTTATGCATATAAATTTTAAGAAACTTATGTTACACGACAAACTCCACAAAAGTAGTAGGTTTGTTTTGTGACTACTTTTGTAGAATTTCTCACCACTAATTATAAAACGTGTGTAACAATTTTTTGTTTGGGGCAAAATACAAATGAAGGACACTCAAGAGAGTTGACGGTTAGCAGAAGAGAACGAAGAACAACTGATAAAAGCCAGAAGCAACAGATTATGTGGAGAGAGTGGGCCACGGCTACACCATACAAAGACGAGTGGATGAAAAGCCAAAGCTCACCAGTACCACACCACCACACTCAGAAAGCAAAAGCATGGCTACCTTTTTATTTCACTATTTCCAATTTAAATAAATTTTAATTTTCGAAATCAATCTGGAATTCAGAGAATATTATTAGCAAGTTGATTTATGTACGGTTTACAGTCTACTACTTGTCTCTTCAATACTGTCCTCTAGCATGCTTCACCGTTATTATATAATTTTATCATTAAAAATCTCGATATAACGAAAAGTCATACCTTTTTTAAAAGAATGCTGAGCAAAACTACACAATATAAGTTATATTTAATTTTGTTAACTTTTCGACGAGGTTCTTATATTATATTCTTCAACAACAGTCACAGTGAAATAAAACTTCCGGACCCTTCTGATCTGTTCTGTTTCTTTCTTTTGCTTTCAGTTGCAGTCCAAGTATGGCTTCCCTTTTGAGTTTAGCTTTTCCAAAAAGCACAAGAAAAATATTCCAGAATAGCAAAAATTAAAACACAGAAAAATAACTAAAATAAATATAAATGTAAAATGTCAGTTTCAAGTTGTCACTTGTCACTAGATTGTCTTGTTGTGGTATTTAAACTAGAAACTGATTTGTGGAGAAGAAAGAAGAAAAGAAGAAATATCCATCTCTTTTTCTGTGTCAGTAACTAAGATTTTCAATGGGTGGTTCCGAAAACTTTGGGATTTACTGAAGCAATAGGCAGGTCAGTGTTTGTTTATTTATTTATTTTGTTGGTTTTGTTTCAATTTATTGCAGTTTGATCAGATACTTTATGTTTATGTAGTTAAAAAGTTTAGAAATTCTTTTGTTTTGAGGGGATTCCTGTGTTTTTTTGGAGCAGTTTTTGGTGAATATTTACTTCATTTGAAGTTAAAGTCACAATTATTTGATTAGTTAATTATAACCAATGAAATCTCAACGTATCTGTGTGGTTAGTAGTAGCCAGTAGGGCAATGACCCTTCTCTCTAAGATGTTTGACATATCTCTCTTGTTAATTTGCTTTCACAGGGATTTGGCAAAGCAAAAGCTTGTGGATTTGTAACCATCATTATTTTCATGGATTTGTTTGGATCCCAAGTCACATTGAACTATTTGTTCAATCTTCAATCCATTGAGCTAAGGTAACCTTCTTGATTCCTGAATAAACTTGTGTTCCGACCCTGCAAAGTGCGGAGTCTTGTTGGTTTAAAGGGTTTCTGTATATGGTTTTGGGAAGCTGAATGTGTTAACTGGAACTGCTATGGCAAAACTCTCTCTCTCTTTTCTGCCTTTGGTTCTTGCTATCATTCTATCTTCAGTTCGTCATTCCGAACAACGTCAATCCTCCGAAGCTCAGACCCTTTTGAGAATTACGCAACTCATAAACTTTCCCGTTGTGAAAAGCTTGAATAACGACACAGATTTTTGCAACTTTGAAGTGAATGCTGCTTTTACGGTCTCATGCTACGAAGGAAGCATAACCCAGCTGCATATAATCGGCGAAAAACCTGCTCCTTTGTTGCCTCAAAACTTTTCGATTGATTCCTTTGTAACAACTCTGGTTAAGCTTCCGAGGTTGAAGGTCCTCACATTGGTTTCTGTTGGTCTATGGGGAACCTTGCCGGCTAAAATCGCACGTTTATCATCACTCGAAATACTTAATGTGACTTCAAATTTCTTGAATGGCACCATCCCTCCAGAGCTTTCCTCTCTAACAAGCCTCCAGACTCTTGTACTCGATAACAACATGTTTTCTGGACCGCTTCCAGAAGGGCTGAGTTCACTTCCAGTTTTGTCTGTTTTGAGTTTGAAGAAAAACTCGTTCAATTCGTCCTTGCCGAGTTCATTGAGTGATTTGGGAAATCTTAGAGTTCTCGGGCTTTCTCAAAACCGTTTCCATGGGGAACTGCCGGATCTTAGTCGTTTGACAAACCTTCAAGTTCTTGAAGTGGGAGATAATGCTTTTGGACCTCAGTTTCCGAAACTTGGGAAAAAGTTGGTCACCCTTGTACTGAGAAAGAACAAGTTTAGGTCTTCCATCCCTGCTGAATTGAGCTCGTATTATCAGCTACAACGTCTAGACGTTTCTTCCAACGTGTTCATGGGGCCATTTCCTCCATCGCTGCTATCTCTACCTTCGATTACTTATCTTAATATTTCGGGAAACAAGTTTACAGGAATGCTTTCTGAAAATTTGCCTTGCAATGCTGAACTTAAAGCTGTGGATTTGTCCTCGAATCTTTTGACCGGAAGCTTACCTAAATGTCTTGAGTCGGATTCTAAGGACAGGGTTGTCCTGTATGCAAGGAATTGTTTAGCTACTAGTAATCAAAATCAACATCCGGTTCAATTTTGCCTCAATGGGGCGTTAGCTGTTGGAATCGTACCTGACCAAAGCAAGCGAAAGAAAGCCTCCAAAGCAGCCCTTGCCATAGGTATAATTGGAGGGATTTTCGGAGGTGTTCTACTTGTCGGTCTGATTTTCCTTGTACATAGAAGAATTAATACCAACAAGACATTGAAGAAATCTCCACCAAGATCAATAACAGAGAATGCATCAAGTGGATATACATCAAAGTTACTATCAGATGCAAGTAAGTTCTCATATCTCTCTCGGTCTCTAGCTCTCACACATGCTCACACACACACATACACGCAAAAATAAACGATGAGAAAGGAAAACCATAAATACTGGATGCTGGTTGGCCAATTTTTCCAGTGTACTCAAAATGTCTGATAATATGATCTTCTGCTTATACCTAAAGGATATATATCTCAAACAATGAAGACGGGAGCGCTTGGCCTTCCAAGTTATCGAACCTTTTCACTCGAGGAACTTGAGGACGCAACACAAAACTTTGATACGTCTACTTTCATGGGTGAAGGCTCACATGGACAGGTACATAACATAAACCTCTTACTTTCATGTGGTATTTATTGATGAGCTTTTGTGGATGCTTTTGAATGCAGTTTTGTGTGATTAACTATGCATTACATCATAGAATTTCGTCCGAGCTTAAATAAATGGTCGTTAGCTGGTGTTTTCGTCCCTTTTGTGATCTCAGATGTACAGAGGCCAGTTGAAGGATGGTTCTTTTGTTGCCATCAGATGCTTGAAAATGAAAGGAAGTCACAGCACTCAAAATTTCATGCATCACATAGAGCTGATTATGAAACTACGGCATCGCCATTTGGTCAGCGCACTTGGACACTGCTTTGAGTGTTACTTGGATGATTCGAGCGTCAGCAGAATATTTCTTGTTTTCGAATATGTACCATATGGCACACTCCGGAGCTGGATATCTGGTAATTCATCGTGAAATAGTTTATTTAATTTCTCCACCATGACCTTGTTTTTTTCTTTTGATTTCACACATTCATCTGGAATTTTTCGTTCTGTTTTTTCTTTTCCGGAAGAGGGACATCCCAGACGATCACTCGCGTGGACACAACGCATAGCAGCTGCAATTGGCATAGCGAAGGGCATTCAGTTTTTGCACACAGGGATCATGCCTGGTGTATATTCAAGTAATCTTAAAATAACAGACATTTTACTGGATCAGAATTTTGGTGCGAAAATTAGCAGTTACAACCTTCCTCTGTTAGAAGAAAATATGGAACAGGTAAAGATTATGTTGTAATTAACTCACTGGGGTTGTCAATTCAATTCTCGAAGCAAATCATTATGCACCGGTTTTCAGCTACGCTTCTCCTTGCAGGGTGGTCATGGAGTCTCTTCAAGTGGATCCATAACTTCTAGTACCGGTGCAAGGTCCGCAGTGAAAATTTTCAATCACTTTTAAGTTACATGTATACTAAAACACTTAAAATGCACCATTCATAGGAACTTCTTAATTCTATTACTTTTGATGTTAATCTTAGCACGCCTTTGTTCTTGTCGACACCTTTTCACTGCTCGCTACCTTCGCAGTATTGCTTGTAACCATTGTGCTATGTTGGTTGACAGGAAGAAACACGACGATAGGACTGATGTTCATGACTTTGGAGTAATATTGCTGGAACTGATCAAGGGGAGACCGGTTAAGTCTGAGGCTCAAATCGAGGATTTAGAAGATCAGGTAAAAGAAACTTGCTTTTCTTATATTTTCTTCGAAAGCTTCATTTTAATTTTTGAGGAAACAAGACCTGTCAATATCTCCCATGCCGCCTGCAATGCTCTCGCAGACCTTATGATTTTCGATCTTTCATGGAAGAAGTGTTGGCTAATTTCACTACTAGAGAAAACACAAACTCGTTTTGTTGGCCTTCGTTCGAGGATCAAGAGACTAAAAAATTTACTAAAATAAAGATGAAAGATTACAAAGAAAATTTCTTACAGTTACACTCAACCTTATAATTATTTCTGAAAATAATTCTTCTTTTTCTCTTTGCCAGGGTAATATATTAATATGGGAACAAGTAATCAATTTATATATATTCGTTGATGATGCAGGTACAAGTGGCCCTTACAGCTGATGATGCAGCTCGAAGAAGCGTAGTTGATTCACGGATTAAGCAGACGTGCTTGGATCTGTCAGTGAAGACAATGATGGAAGTTTGTGTTCGGTGTCTGGGCCAGGATCCAGCAGATAGGCCTTCTATTGAGGATGTTCTGTGGAACTTGCAGTATGCTGAACAAGTTCAGGATGCATGGCAAGGAGGAGAATCCCAGAGCAGTGAGGACTCTCCGGTTTCATCTCCAAAACCTCCACGCCTCGCCTTCAAGTTGTGAGTTACCGGAGTTTTTTTTAATGCTTGAGAATTCATACCACGGATACCTACACAAAGATGACGACTTCCGCCGCGAAAGATGTTACATTGCTCATATCCAGCATCATACGTTACTGAAGACCATAAAAAGGGATCAATTGATGGGGAAACTGCCTTGCCGGCCAGTGATCTATGTTCTGCAGCAGTTCAGAGATTTCTTGGTTTTCAAGTCACAACTGTAAATTAAGGAGTGTAAACAATCACTTTTGACCGTCTATATATGTTCATCATCTTATTACATTTGTACCCGATGTTTTGACTTACAACTAATCTTTCACCCAGCCAGCTCCGGTTCTTTTCCAATTGTAGCTGCCGGAGGGTGTCAGCCCTACCAAAGGTATATATCGATCCAACCGTAAAACAAATAGTTTTCTTTTTGACAAAAAGATAAATTTTAATGAGTTTAGATTCAAACTCAATCTCGAGTGCAAGAGTGAATGTTCTTAACCAACTGAGTTACAAGTCACTTGCTCTATAAAAAAGTTAAACTATTATTATTTCAGTAGTGCTATACATACGTCAAATTCGTGCACTAAATCTAAGCACCAGATGATGTCACATATTCTATACCCTATAAATTTTTATTATAACTATTAATCAAATGCCAACTTGAATAAAGTACAAATTTAATTGGTACCACATTATTTGGTGTACCTAATATTATTCTTATTATTTAATTATACTACATGGAGCAATAAACTGTAGCACGGTTAGTTGTTAAGAGCATTCATCCTACTATAATGAGCAAACGTTCACTGCCTTTTCCCATGTATCCTTCTCTCATTCTCCCTTCTAAGTTTGCACCTTTTTTTCTCTTTATATTAAATATATTTTAGTGTAAATATAAATTCTATTAAGCAAAAAAAATGCATATATGAGAAATAAAATTGTAATTTTTTTCATTTAAAAGACTGTGTCAAAAGTGGTCATATTTTAACTTTTTGATCACCAAATACTTAAAGAGGGCAGTGTTATATATTTTATGTATATATTTTCGACATTTCCCTACGTTTTTTCTTATTTTACGAAAAACAGTGTTAATGTGTTAGGATGTCAGATGCATCATCTTATGGTGACAGTTAAGAGTTAGATATTAGCATAAACAGTACATTGTAAGAGAAGACAGGCAATTAATGAAATATTAATTGTTTGTATTGTTGTTCTTTTATTTCATCTCTGTGCAATTATGGAAGACGTAGAGTAGGGTTCTAACATAATGAGTTAGATAATTAGTCGTTTGGAAACGGTCAATCTGCCACCACGGTAAAATGCGTGCACGTTTTCTTTATTAAAACATAAATATTCTGTTCTCTCCTAACCAAGGTAAAAGATCATGCTTGACATGTGCACCCATGCACTTTGAGGTTCTCCCCATTCCACGTGCCACGGGCAATACAAATCTTAATGCCAGCTGCCCGCCATGATGGATCCAAGACAACCTTCTACAAGTTCCATTCAAGTATCATTTGCTTTTTTATATAGTACTATACTTAAAACTAACACCAATAATGGTATAAATTAATAAAATTACTTCTCATAAAATTAATTTAATTAAAACATTAATTAATTATAAAACCCCGACCCCTCTTTAACAAGAAATTTTTATCAGTGCATAAACATATACTACATGGTATATCATTTTTTTATTTATAAATAAAGCGACAACTTTAATGAGTTAAATAATTAGTTGTTAAGAGAAAGAGAAATCAGTGGATCTAGAGCCCGTACTATGGTGCATAGACATGATTATTTTCTATCACTATAATAAAGCATCATCTGCATATAGTATATCATTTTACGTGTTATAATAAATGTGACAGAATCGATATATATATTCCACTCAAACTATATTAATAAAAAATAAAATAAATTCACGTATTATACATTGAGTAAAATATATAATAATGTCACAAGACACCATAAAATTACTCCCTTCGCCTTTGCACGTGTGCCTCACACACACCATGCAGCTACCATACTCACATTTCACTCACTCACTCAATATTCATCAACTTCACCAACCATAACGTCTCTCTCTCTCTCTCTCTCTCTCTAAGAAAGTCTAAGAAAGAATTAAAAGAAAGGCTTCGCACATTCAGCTTGCCAACTATTTCACGAGACAAACGTGCACTGCTAGCTCCGGCAGTTTCCTTATAAGCACCAAACTCGCCACCCTTCTCTTTTGCTCCCTCTCGAATTAATTAAATTACCCTTAATTTATACCTTCCTATATAGCCCATCTTGTTAACTAGCCAGTCCTTCCAATATAATTCCCATTGCTTGATGGCTGATCCGGCAGTACAACGAGACCATGGCACGTCTGAAAGCCGAAGGAAGGGCACATCCATTGGAGGGGGAGGCAAGCGTGCGTCTATGGAGGCGGCAGTGGGAACGACAACAATAAATAGTAATGCAGTAGGTTCTGGTGGTGGTGGTGGTGGTGGTGCAGCACCATGTGGGGCGTGCAAGTTTTTGAGGAGGAAGTGCATAAGCGGGTGCATATTCGCACCCTATTTCGGTTCAGACCAAGGAGCTGCACGCTTTGCAGCTGTGCACAAGGTGTTTGGGGCGAGTAATGTCTCGAAGCTTTTGTTGCACATTCCCTTGAACCGCCGGCATGACGCTGTCGTTACCATTTCCTACGAGGCTCAAGCTAGGCTCTCCGACCCCGTTTATGGTTGTGTCTCCACCATACTTGCTTTGCAACAACAGGTTTCATTAAATCATATACTAACAATGTTCATTCATCCATTATCTCTACACGCACTATCAGAAATTTTAGCCTTGGCCTATGAAATTTTGCCTGACGAAATCCGACAAATTTTGTAGGTTCATAGGGCAAAGCTGGTCAACATTTAAAGTTTAACTCCTTTTGTACATCTTTTTATTGACATCAAAATATTGTATATATAATCGATAAATTGTATTTACTCTTGCACTCGAGATTTATCATACAATGATCAAGTATCGATACAAAACAAATATACTTTAACGTTCATGAAGATGATGTCATAACCGAAAGGCTTCAGTTAAGATGCAAATTACCAGTACAATAGTCAAAACATATACATATATATTCATTGAAACGTACGTATGACTATCTGATGTGATATAGTTAACTATTGTGGCATGAATATCGTGCAGGTTGCATCTTTGCAAGCCGAGCTAGCAATGGTGCAAACTCAGCTGATAAACAGCAGGTTTGCATTTGCAAACGCTCTCCAAATCACCTCGCAGCAGCAACAGCATGAGCAGCAGCAGAGCCTGGCACTAATGTTGCAGCCTGCTTACTCTAACAACTCCTCAGCCACCACTAACCTCATCAACATGAACAGCTTCACCTCAAATTTCGACATCGAGGCGGCCCCGTCTTCACAGAGCTTCATGGAGCCTCTTCAGCTTTCGAGGCCATCCCGAGATGATGAAGATGATGAGGAAGAGAGTCGAGTTCCACTCTTGTTCGCCAATGATCGCTATTGATTTAGAATTTTCTGCTGCTTAATTTTGCTTGCTATCATCTATATATATCGTTTGTTATCATTAAACTACTCTTTTTTCACCAAGCACTGATACATGTGTGCATGGGTAAAATCTTGGGATAGTTACATTTCACACTCTCCCGCTTATTTTAAATGATCACGGTATTTTATTTTTTCACATTGCACCATGAGATTTTGAAGTCATGAATTTATGCTTGTCCATATTTGATTTGAGCATCTGGTTCTCCATTAGATTGATGACATGGTAAATGTTGAACCCATTTCTGGGTTGCGTAGAAGCCACCCTTGGACAATTGTGATCAAATTGAAATTGTCCAACTATTTTCCATTTTGGGAGAAGTCAAGCTTCATGATAACTAGTTTAGGTTCATGTGGTGCAAATGTTGCTTCCGCGTCAACCCATAAACAAGTATCATGGCTGCCAAGTCATCAATTTGACGAAGGATTAGAAGGTCAACTTGTGGGCCTGTGTAGCATCGAAAGTCATATGATATGTAACACTAGAATCAATTATTCATGTATTATTTGAAACAAGCGCAAAATTCGGAGAATGTTACCTGTTATGGCTTCTGAAAACAGAGGCTTAATTAATCAACATTATTCCAAGGTTCCTATACTAATATATTCTAACATAACAAACCAACTCCAGATGCACAAAAGTTAAAAGGCCAATTGAGCAAATCAATGGAAAATCAATGGATTCCAATAATATCATCCATTATATATTACAGTAGCACAACTGAACAATTCGTAACATTCCTCCATTTTGAACCAGAACAGACAACAAATGCTTTCAGTTGTTGCTTTGCCGGATTACTTACTATAGAGCCAAAAACTGCGACTAAGTCTGCTCTGCCGGCAACCTTCCAAGACAACAAGAGCTTCCGCAAAAGCACTTTAAACCCTTAGACCTTAGCGTAACTTCACCATAGCTAAAAGTAAGCTCCTCGTCTTCCTGTATGTCTTCTGAAGAAAAAAAGCAAAGGCGTGGGAGTAGAGCACCTGAACTTCTGACCAGTGTTGTGAACAAATTACCACCGTCACACGAATGGTTGATGAACCTTGCTACATTTCCAACTCTCGTTGCATCGATATTGTATCTTAAACACGCCTTTCTGGATGGAAGATGCTCCCTCACAACCAAAAGAGCAGGAGAAAAATTACCATCTGATGCAAATTCATCATATACTTGTTGCCGCAATCTTGCTTCTTTTGTTGTCAAGAGTTCACCTTTCTCACCGGAAAAGAAAAAAAAATATCAATATTTAAGTGTTGGAACATAAATAGTCCATCCTGCAGGATACACACATGAACATTCAAGAAATTATTTGCAGAAACATGTTAATCAACCTAATAGACAGAACCGTATCACAACATTCCAGGGGACAAGCATGGGAAATTGGGATTGTCCTAAACAAGTATCATATGGTGGAAGTAGATTATAATATAGGAGTTTTGGCAAGAGCTATAATATTAGGGGAGAAGAAGAGCAGCAGCAGCTGAAAGCCATTCATGAACAACAATTACAGCGATATGGTCAGACATTGTAGCAGTCCATGGTCCCCAACACCTCAGCTGATAAATAGGAAGGCCTTCTTAATTCACTCTTGCACTTCTCTTTTTCCTTTCCCCACATGCCCCAAAGTACCATACTTCACTCCTCAATCTTTGTTTTGTAAACTTTAATTTCACTCCCATCACATTCACTCCTCCTTAAAGCTGTACCTAAATGTATGATGATCCAACTACATGATTTCAAATCTAAAGGGTCCTGATCCCCACTCTAATTCGAGCTCCAAATATTGGACATACCATCTGTTCTCTTATCTACCTCTAATGAAGTTTTGATACCGTAAACCATATATTTCAATCCAACCTACAGAAAACAATGCCATTTCAGCAATGAAACTATAGTCCCCCTCCTATAAAGAACACCTTTCTATATTTTCAATCTTCTCTACCTCAATAACATTTCCACCAAAAAAAATAAGAACATCAGAATGATTACTCTTATTACTTCTCATGCAGGTTGAAGGATTCATTCATAAGGTCCCTGATTTTGATTGATTTGATGTTATGACACTGCATAACTATATATCCAATAAAATACTAAGAGCACCAAATTCAAAACTTCCCAACCCAATTCAAGCACATTCTTCCTAATCTTGAATTTCATGTCACAAAATTCAAGACATAAAACATTATTTTTTCATCTCCTAGTCAGAATCAAATCAAATCAACAGAAACACCAATCACATACCATCAGGACACACACTAAACATAACACAAAATGCCATTGAGATATTCAAATCCCGCTCCGCTGCACGCAGTTTAAATTAGTTTAAAGTAGAATAGCGAAATGAGAATTGTAAAATGTGGTTGTTATACAAATACCTGCATATTCACAGACAAACCGACCCTTTGGAATGAACTGATCAGCATACAAGCTCCACCCTTTTGTCCTATCCCTCACAATCTTCAACCTCACCTCGATCCCTCTCTGACTCACCCGATTCCCACAATCCAATCCACACCCACAACCCAACCCACACTCCGAAACGACGCCGTCGAACCCACCAAACTCTGAACACGGACACCCACCACCCTCTTCCCCACACGTCTCGCAATCACACCCAGCCGCGCCCTCCCCCAACTCATCCACCAAACGCACCGTTTCGACACCGATTTCACCCGCCGAGTTCGGTCCCTGCGCGGAGCAACCGGAGCCCCAGGATTGGCGGAGTGGAAATCGGGAAGAGGAAGGAGGGGTTTGAGATGGGGTGTAGATGAAGAAGGCGTACGGGTGTCGATCAACGGAGTTACGGAACGGGATCGGATGGGGTTCCAGGGATCGGGAGGCGTCGGAGGCGCGGCGGAGAGTGATGGAGGTGGAGATTGCGCGGAGGGCGGTGCAGGTGAGAGAGACGGTGGCGAGTTCTTGTGGAGTTAGCCATGGGAGGATTAGGTCTGAGCACTGGAAGAGGAGGGAAGGGGAGTGGTTGCGTTTGGATGGCGGGGTTGGGGGCTGAGTTTGCTGCATCCTTGAGGCCCCCGCTTTCAGTGAGCTGCAAAGAAACCTTTGAGAAATTTGAATTTAGGGATGTAGCAAATTTGGGACATTTGGAATACGAGAATGACAATTTTGGACATGACACGATAAAGCTACGTAACATGAATTATGGTTAATCGCGTTTTTGTGTTGTGAATAATAATTGTCGCCTTAAGATGACATAACAATTTGATTCAATGTTGGAGCACAAGAGTAACGAGAATAAATTGGATTTCTAATTCGTTATCTATGAGTCTGCAAAACAAAGATCACTCACTTACAAATGAAGACGAATATCACTAAACTGTAATACTAAGTGGCAACTCTGATAAGTTTGAATGTGAAACCTTTGAGTATATTGTTTAAGGACAATCATTAGCGTTCCCGGTAGAGTTATGCATAGTGCATGCTCATTGCTGGTTGTGTGAACCATTATTCCGATCATCAAGTCAATTAGCCGTTTAATTCGAAAAACTGTGTTAATTAGGGTGGTTAATGCACCTTGTGACCAGGCGGTGCTAATGGTTCTTGCATCGTATTTGTCCCGTGTCTTACGGGAGCCTTGCAAAGTGCTTACCTCTACGGGCTTGTAATACGACACGCCTACTCAATTGGGCTTGTAATACGACACATCTGTCCAATCGGGCAGGCGTGCATGCTCCCACAATCTTCATTATTTCAAGAAATATGAAAATGGAGCACGAAAAATGGAATTTTATTAGATCGAATGCGTATTGAATTCACAAACTTTACAGCCAATGGATTACTATCGAAATTACTCGAACAAAAAAAGGCTCTCGCGTATGATACATCAAAATGTGGTTACAAGACCTATACCTAGCTCCTCGGCAAGCTCATCCCATACCGGAAGAAGTGTGAGCACAACAAGGAAAACGGCCACTGTAACAACTGTTTTCCTCCACGTTCCAACCTCGGTTACATCATTCAGGCACGGTTTCTCCGGAGTCCTCTGAACATATAAACAAAACAACGTAATGAGATGGAGCGTTTTTTCTTTCTCGGTAGCAGATAGAGGATTGTTGAAGCATGGAACCGCAGTATGTAAATTCTTATATGCAAACCTGGCATATGAGCACGTAGAGTCCCCATGGAAGTGAGAGAGGTCCGCCAAGCTGAAAGGGAGGAAAAGAAGACTAAAACTTAACGAGCCTCGGAAGTAGGAAAAACTGCTATTAATGCTTTTACCAAACATAAGCATGTTTTGTTTAAGTTGTAAAAGCTATCATACTCTGTTCAATCCAAGAATTTAAAGTTTGAAGCAAACATTAGCATGTTATGTTTAGGCCGTAAAAGTTAAGACATACCACTCCCAATCCAAGCATCGTGTATGTCGTCAAGCCAAAAGCATTTAGAGCATTTTTTCCAAAAGCGCCCTGCAATAAGAGAGATATACCATAAGCCACGTTAGGATACGGCTATCATCACTGTAAACTGTCTACCTTGGGCTACTTCAAAGAGAAAAAAACACAACTAAAACAAATTAAATAAAGATTTCATGAAATCATCATAATAAAGAAAACGGAAAGAGAAATTCAGTGCACGGATTTGTAAATTAACCTGCACAGCTCTTCCACCATCAAGACAGCCCACTGGAAGCATATTAAAAGCAGTTGTTGTCAACCCACACCTGCAATGTTAAACTTGAGTCACAAGCATGTTACGCATTGCAATGAAATTATTAAGGTTGTCAAGAAATAGTACATTACCAGCCAGCAATCATAAGAGGATGAATTGGAACTGTCGCAGCATGCATTGATCTGCATGTTCATGATGGTATCATGACAACTAAGAATATATGAAGCGAAATGAATTGAAACTTCTACTACATTAAATGAAAAAGGATTGTATAGATGTCTCGTAGCTCACATACGAAGAAGAATAGTTAAATAGTGGTACAGAGGCAAGGGAAGGACATACGCATAACCAAGAGTGGCTCTACTGATGAGTCCAAGAAGCAAAGAACCTTGAAACAGCATGCTAGGAACCTGCACCAACTCTCCTGTAGCGTTGGGATTAGACGAGAGCAGCAGACCTGCAGCAAACATTGACAATGACAGTGTAGCACCAGCAAAAGGGCCCGCCAGTGATATGTCGACTTTTGTGCTCCGGTCAGGAAGAATGGATTTAAACTACAAAACCAGTGACAAAACCAGTGAACGATGAGAAGAAATTATGTGAATCACCTTTAAGTACAAACAAGGGAGATAAGGGGGTCTAGGCGCACAGATGAACTAGTTTGAGCAAAGGTAGTCACAAATCTAGGTCAAACTACCGCATCAAATACAACATACCTATAGCTACAACTATCACATAAATATAGAAGTCCGAAACTATTCAAACTTACAATACTGGAGAAATGGAAAAGTCAGAAACTCATGACTCAGAAGTCGGAACAGAATAAGCCAACACTGTCTTAAATAAAATGTGTAACTCGTGTCTGGGATGGGGAGTGGCAGGGGGAAGAAGTACATTACAAAGATCAAATTTACATTATTCATTCGGGAATAACCTGCTCCTACTCAGATTGTATACTAAACAACAGAGACAAGTCTCTTAAACGGACATGTTTCAGATTGCTATACTTGGATTATTAGAGGTACCTGAGTGATTGAACCGAAGCTGCCAAGAGTAATATTAGGAATAAAGAAAGGAATGCTAAGTTTTACTTTCTTTGGGAAAGCAGCCACAAAATGCCCAACTTCCTGCATACAATTAACTCCATCATAATCATATTCAAATAAGAACAAAAGTAAAATTCAAATAGGAAATCACAAATTATAAAATATTGACTAATTCGTCAAAACTCAAAAAATCATTTGGAGAAGGTCTAATTGACAGAAATTTTTAAAAGAAAATGACATAATTTTTCATTTTTCACACAAAGCATATGCAAGTCATCAGAATTTTTCACTTAAAACTGACACAATTGAGTATTTACTTATCATTCATTTTATTCACTAGCATGCCCTCTCTTGAAACTGACAGAACTGAGTATCCACTTATTCTTCAACGTACATCGTCAGGGTAAGTGAACTTGAACAATAAGCATGCTCATTTTATTCACAATCAAATCTAGTATTATAAATAATGTACAGAAACATCACAATTAATCAGCTCTCTCTTTCATAGGCATAGGCTTAAAGATTCTACTCGGTAGTGGACAAGAAAGAGCACAGTGTGATAGCCAATATATAGAAAGAAATATACATTTTAAATTTGAACCAAAACCAACAAACAGCAAGACATCTCACTTACATGAAACAGTAAAACGCCCAAAACACCATATGCTACAGGCAAGGCTGAATCTACATACGGGAATAGCAACTCCATATCTGGTGGGTCAACGGCATTTGGATCTGTGAAGTATTTCACCACCTCTGGTGGAAGTCTATTTATCTGTTTAAAATAATGCATGAATATAAGTAGATACTCTAAAAATGAGAAAGAAATCAATTACTAATGGACCATTTATAGCATCACAAAACACATAAAAAAAACGCAAGTTGGCGTACCTGAGATGCAATTCCTAATTCCACAGATGATCCAATTGTTAGAAGGAATAATAAGAAGGCAATTACATATTGCCAAAGCGTTGTTGGCCCTGGTTCTGAGACCTCTTTCCGCAGCAAACCAAAGCTAACACGTGGCCCACCACGTGGATCTAGGTCTTCTGCATTGGGTTCCTCCACCATAAAAAGGTTGTACTTGTTACCCGTGACCTCAGCCAATAGACTCTGGAATTTGGCAAATACCTCTTCTCTCTTTCCCCTCAAATTCCCAAGGAAGAGAATGCCCTCACCAAGGTCTCCGAAAGGCTCCTCTTTGGTCACCCAAAAGGTAGAATAACCAAAAAGTGCTTCCTTAATCAGCTTTACATCAGCAGGATCAACCTTCTCAGGTCCAAGGAGTTCCATCAGTTTAAAAGAGTCAACTTGGAAATTATTGTACGCAGGCCCAAGTGGTGATATAGTTGGCGGCTGACAGACATATCGACACATAACGCTATTAGAGACTGTTACATTACTATATTAGATGTATGTGAGAATAAAACTCTGATGTCCTCTTTCTCGCACGTAGAATCAAGTCTATAGGTACATAACTACATATGCATATTGGCAGTGATAGTCAGTTGCCTCACAAGTACTGTGAACAAAGCGTACGTAGGAAATTAGCTATAACGGTTATCCGCAACCAAATTCAGATAACAGAGTTCAGATAACATGGTGTCTTTTACTAATTCATGCACTGCAGTCAGTCCCAATTGTTTTCCTTTGAAACTGAGCTCCCAACCGTTTGAAGACATTCAATGGCTGAAGCTAGCTAGATTCTGTCTATCTCAACCGTTGGAAGTCCAGATGAGACTCCACCTCCACGTATAATGTAGAAAACAAGATGGAAATTTCTCCAACACCAATTCTTAAAACAATTCAACAAAGACACTAACACTAACACAGAAAATGAACTCATACGCACTCTCGAGTGCTGCAACTAAAACCCACAGTTGGATAGCTACCATTTTTACTATACATGCCATACCGTCGTCAACTGAGGATTCCGATAAAAAAAAACCCCACTGACCAAACCAGAAAATTCTACAAATACAGAACCCTTTACTCCTATTTGCAGAACCCAAAACCGAATTTAAATTCCTATACCAATTTCTTCGCTAAAAATTCAAACTTGATAAATAAAACGCTGTAAGGTAACACAATTAAAATAAGAAGACTCTAATGCAAATTCAACAGCTAATGCAAAATATAAGTAAGAACACATATAACAAAGATACGCAATGTACCCTGGAAGAAACCGATGGACGCTCGGAATCATATTTGTTCGAGCGTATATTATCTTCATCTACTTCCGTTGTCGTCGCCGCCGTCGTGGGGTCTGTTGACTCATTTCTACTACTACCGCTGCCGCTGCTACTCTCTCCATCACCTTCACCGTCACCATTATCGCTAGAACTATGACATTTAAACCTACCAAAATTCCTACGCGGAACCCAACAAATGCTCTGGGTATTTACACTCGCTCTGCTGCAAAAGAAGCATGAATTCTTCTTGCTGCTGGGTTTCCTGGGAAATGGCAGTCTCGGAATTTCGCGGGTTTTGAGGGTGAAGTTGAAATCCAGGGTGCTGAAAGTGCAGCTGGTGAGCGTCCCCATTCAGCTGAATTCACAGAGCTTGAATTATATGAGACTGTGAAATTACAATTACAACAACATTTGGAATTTGGAAGCAGAGGAGGGAGGAGGGGCTGCACTCATTCAGCTAGTTTTTTTTGCTGTGACAGAATATGTGAATATCCGATGACTTTTGCTAATATCCCTATTTTTTTCTTTTTCTTTTTAAAATTTTTTCATTTTGTATATTTCTCAACTCTATTTTCTGCTCCAAACCATTTTACAATGCTTCTCACGCAATCCAAGTAATCTCTAAAACACGATTTCAATTTCGATATTTTTTCAACTTTAATTGCATGAAACCTTCATTCATGATGCATAAATCCAATTTTACACGTTTTCGAATTATAATATTCTGGCTTAAATTATGTTCCCAATTCTTATATATATTGTGGTAAAGTGATAATTGTGCGAGAAAAGAAAAATAACAGAATTATTGCACCTTGACTTGCGCAAAGCCACAGCTTGAAGCCATTTAAGTTGCGTCGTCGAGCCATGTGCCGCCAAAACCCTAGGACCAAATGTCGCCGTTTTTGCGTCGTCCATGTCCTTCATACTTGGGTCGTCAGCTAGGTCGCCTAAAGTATAAACCCCGACCGTATTTTACCATTTTGTCAAACTTAGGAAAAGTATCATGAAGTATACTCATTTGATATTAATGTACTCATTTTCCTACGATCAAGATCATTTTGTCAAACTGGGTTTTTTTGCTTGACAAGATTTTGACGAGGCACCCATTATGAGTTGGCCATACCTCTTGTGTGCGTCCTACTTACGTCCTGAAAATGTTAAGTTTTAACTGATTACATTTACTCACATTTTTCCTTAGAATATGAGTCTGGTTCCATATTGAGTTTCAATTTTGTGAAGTTTACTGCTATATGCAATTCTTAAGTGAAACTAGCGTGTTTTTTTATTGGTGCCTATGAGACGAAGGATAAGAAAAGCCCAAAGGCCACGGTGCCTTTTGGGGCAGCCAAAATCCAAGACCTTTTCTTCAAGGCCCAAAACATGATGCTTTTACTCCCTTGATAAGAAATCTTTCTTCAAAATTTGGAATTTGAAATAGAAAAATGGACACTTTTTGGAGCCGAAACGTTATCAGAACGCACAGAGAGAGAGAGAGAGTAGCGAGTGTGCGATGCAATGGGCTCTTCTCTTTACTCCGCCATTCTCCTTCTTCTCTTTGCTTTCTGTCTCTCTCTTCCGACCCTCTCACCTGCCACCGAACTCAAAGGTATCTATCTCTATTTGTCAATTTTTGTTCAGAATTGCTCGTCGCCGCCTGTTTGTTTCCCGAGAAAATTTTAGGAAAATCAGTGAAATTTTTTTTTGATGTTTTGAGTATGTGGGTTGTTTACTTATTTCCGTTTTAAGAGAGAAAAACTTGCACTTTGACTTGCTCTGCATTTGTTTGCTGTGAAAATTATTACGTTTTAGTCTCACTTTATTAAACTTGGGTCCAATATATGTTTTGAATTGATATTCTGCTACAATTGCAGCAGAGTTTATAGACATTTTATTACACACACATGCAATAAACAAAAGCACTGGAAGTGGCGTCCTTGCTGTCCACTATGCAGCAGTCAGAATACACATGCAGTGACCTTGCTGTCCACGATGCATGTGTCCTTGCTGTCCAGAACAATGATACATCTTCACGTGCTAACCTAGCTGTCAAGGAATGTTTTATCCTTGTTAACATTCCTTCTGTCCAGGCTGTACTGTTAGTGGAGCACCTTTAACACACTTTTGTTGTTTCCTTACTTGTAAGGTAGATAGAGGGTTAGGGTTTCGTTATGCCTCTTTAGGGTTTATTTCGGTTGCTGTATTGCTTGAGGGAAATTTCAAGTTGTTAGCCGATTACGGTTTAAAAAAATGTCTAACTTTTTGGCCTTTAAAGTGGAATGTTAGTTTCAGTACTGTAGTTTAGCGTGATACCGTTTTGGGTTTGGTCTGATGACATATGTCGCACCTTACCGCTCGATGTCGCTTTGATTTTGAGTTTTTAATCTGCTGTAGCTAAACAGTATGTCCATTATAATTTTAGGGATTTGAACTTTGAAGAGTTCGAATATCTCGTGTACTTTGGTGGTCTGTTTGCATATTTGAAACTAACCTTTACCAATATTGAAATCACAGGTGTAGATATTGAAAACCCAGTACTAGAAGTCATCCCAGCACCTCTTTCTGAGCACTCAGCTGTTCCTGGTTCTAAAGATGTTTTATTTTGTAAACGGGCACGAGTTTCTGGTATATCCAGGTTAAAACTTGGGAGTTATGCAAGTTCACTTAAGGTCACCTTGTCTACATCTCTAGGAATCCTGGAGAGGTTGCTTAGCAAAATTCAAGTCTGTTTTCATAGGTGAGTGAAATGTCTCATCTTTACTGTTACAATCATTCTGTTTTTTTTAGGATAATTGTGTTTTATTGATTGAGTTATGAGTGCACCATATGCTACCTCTCCCTCCCTCTCTCCGTTTCTCTTTCCCTTACTCATTTTCTCTAGTCGCACTCTCACACACACGCACACCTTTTTTCTGTGGATTGTTTTGTCTCACTCATGAATTTTTTACAGGAATAATACGCTTGGATTATGTCAGTGTGAAGAGGATGATTGGAAAAATATTCAGAAAGGGTTATGGAGCTCTGTCATGTCGCCTTATGATGAAAGATATGTCGATGTCAAGTTCATTGGCAAAATACCTGGCTCTGTCACCATAACTGTTGAAGAAGGTTCTGATAAAAATGAAAGTGTGGCTATTAATTGCTTATACTACAATTTGCAGGCTTTGATAGTTATCTATTTTTGTCTGTATAGATTTTCAGAGATGGCGCCTTGTGTGTCTGGCACTGGGATTTACTTTACTATTGTTGGCAGCAATTGTCAGCAATGGCTATAGGAGCTTTTCTGGTCATTATAATCATTCTCTTCCAGGTAATTTTTTGTGTGTCCGATGTATTTTTGTTTGGACCTGCATGCTCTTAGTTTTTCATTGGGTAGTTTGAATATCAGATCTCTAAAACGAATTGTAATTACAGGGTTTTGTGATCATTATCTTTCACCTGCAGTTTTAGCTTGCAAATTTGTAGGCAATGTTTTGTATCATTGTTTGTCTTTAAACATTCAGGGAATGAAGTTGTTGTCAACTGGAAGGAAAACTGTCCTCTGTCTTACCATGTATGGATCAGTCAAACTTGGTGTCTTGAACTTATTGGCATTGCTAAACTACTACAAGATTGAAACTAGACAGGGATTAGGAGGGATTGCTTAAACTGAAAAAGACTTAACTAGACTTAAAAGAACTCAAAACAAACTAAAAAGACTCAAAACAGCACAAAACTATCAAATAGACTCCAACTAGACACTAGAAGGTGATTTGGACGAAAATTGATTTTGACTTGACTCAAAACACTTAGAAACACTTAAAACACACAAATTGGACAGATTTTAACGAACTTGACACAATAAAGTAAAGATGATTGGGTTTTTGACGAATTTAAAGTAAAAACAAGCAGATTGTAAACTTAAACAAAGTTTAGACGAAATTGGGTGAATTAATGAATGATGGGATAGCTAGAAGCTAGAGGGTCATTCTCCACACATGACACTTGCACACGAATTGACTTCCAGTTACTCTTTCAATAAACCATGAATGACAATGCCCAAAATTAACCGTGTCATCATTAATTAACTCTCAGATTTTCCTTAAGTCATTGAATTGGACGGACAACGCATCAGCAACCAAATTATTTTTCTCAAGTTCCCTACATGAACTGCATAATAGAGACACAAGCAAAGATCATTAAGCTCTGTGAAAGCGATCATTTGTACAAATAACGATTATGTGAAATTCCCTTATATTCTAGTATCAAACTCATGCATGAAAACTAAGTATGCATCCTTAATCCACAAACAAAAATAAGTTCTGAATCGAACAGTTAAGTAAATTGCATTCACGATTCACAAAATTATAACTGGAAATAACCAACTCATATTGCATATATCATCATGGTTTCAAAGTCTCCTCTAGCTTAAACGAGTTTAGCCTCTCATGTTCACAGTAAAACAAAGAGAATATAAATTAAACATTGAGATCTAAGATAGATTACACCTAAAAACGTCCAGCAATCCAACTTGAATAGCCAATACGTCCAAGGCTGCTCCTTTTTCTTTGTTGCGGCACAAGGTGTGGTTGAAGGTTTGGGTGATGAATTGTATGAAGGAATGGTTGAAAGTATGAATGGTAGTGAATTGATCTTTGAATGGTGCGGCACACACTTAAATATATAGCAAAGTATGTTAAAACCCATAGGGAATTAAGGCTAGGGTGCGGCAGAAAATAAAGGGAAAGAAAAATTAAAGTTTTTATTATGGTAGAAGGATTTTAACTCTAAATCCCCAAGAGAAAAGGCTAAGTCAAATCAGAATCCAAGGGAAAAAGGTAAGGGGACGGGTTTGCCTTGCACGACAAGGAAAGGGAAAGGGAAAAGTGGCAAGGGGACAGGTTTGCCTTGCATGGCAAGGAAAGGGAAAGGGAAAAGTGGTAAGGGGACATGTTTGCCTATATGCATGGGTTTTGGTCTTCTAGAATCATGATGTAAGTGTTCTTAAAATCATTAAGGATCCTCTTTGCAGCTAGAATTTAATTTGTTTTGAGTTCTTGAAGTCTACTTAAGTGTTTTCAAGCCTAGTTTTATGTTTTTGAGTCAGTTTTAAGTAGATTAGCAATTCCTCCTAATCTCCGGCCTAGAACGATCTCTACTTTACTACAATTGTTAATAAGAGGGTTTAATTTGTGTGCTAGTTTATATCACATCAAATTGTTGGCGTCGTTGCCGGGGATTAGCAAAGTTGCTAATCCCCTGTTGTTTCTTTTTGTTTATTGTCATGTCTTTTGTTTTTAGTTTCTGACTTTGTTTTGTTTTCTTGTTTTTAGGTACTAGTTTATGACTCGAAGTTCTCAACTTGTTCGTGAGCACATCTTTGACTTTGACGACGATTTTGAGCGGACTTTGAGAAGAGGAATCAACAAGCATCTAATCCACCTAACCCTGAACCTGAGCTTGAAGGAGAAGAACTAAAAGAGGAAGAAGAGCCCACGACTCAGGAATTAGAGGAAGCACAAGTCATGGCAGTGGACAATCGAACAATCAAGGAACTCTCAGCTTCGGGATTGGAAAATGTTGTGCCCCTATGCATTCAATATCCAATGGCAGCTCAAGGCAAGACCGAAAAGTTTGAGTTGAAGTCCAGTTTGTTACATCACATTCTGAAGTACCATGGGCTGTCCATGGAGGATCCAAACAAGCATTTGAAGGAATTTGAAGTGGTTTGTTCAAGTATGACCCCAGTTAACGTCGATGAAAGCATATTGAAGATGAAAGTCTTCCCGTTTTCACTAATGGACAAGGCTAAAGATTGGTTGTACGAATTGGCACCTGGAACTGTTACTTCTTGGGAAAGCATGAAGAAAGCATTGTTAGAGAAGTTCTTTCCAACATCAATAATCATTCTTTTGAGGAAACAGATTAGTGGCATTCAACAAAATCAAGGAGAATCATTTTCGGCTTATTACGAACGTTTCAAGGCTCTTGTTGCATCTGATCCCTAACATCAAATGAAAGAAGAGCTTTTCATTCAATATTTCTACGAAAGACTTTTTCCAATTGAAAGATAAATGCTAGATGCCTCAGCAGGAAGAACGTTGGTTGACAAAACACCGGTTGTTGCCAAGACTTTAATTGCCAATCGAGCTTTGAATGCACAACAATATGAAGGAGTTGGACAAAAGGAACCCCTACTGCAGCAACATGTCAATGAGGTGAGTGCAATATCTGAAATTAACTCTCAATTGGCTCATCTCACTCTTCTTGTGTCACAGGTTGTTGACAAACCCAAATTGCAAGAAAATACAATTTGTGACGTATGTTCCATGCAAGAACATCTCAATGACCTATGCTCTCAATTGATTGAGAATGAATGATGGAAAACTGCCTATGTCGTGGGCTATTAAGGCCAAAATCAGCCACGAAATGACCCGTACTCCAACATTTACAATTCGGGCTGAAGAGATCATCCAAACTTCAAGTTGAGGGAACCTCAATAACCTCAACAACAAGGAGGATTTCGACAGCCACCTCCTGGGCTATATCAAATGCCATACGCATCACCACAACTTTCACCACAATCTGCCCAAACAAATTCAGGTTCGTCTTTGGACAATGATAAAGTTCTTTCAAAACTAACGTCTTTGACTCAAGGACTCCAAAATCAAGTCAAAGAGATGGAGGAAGTGAAGAAACAAATTGGGCAGATGGTAGAGTTCATGGGAAAGTTTAAAGAAGAAGGGAAACTAACTAGCTTCACCATCATCAATCCAAAAAGAGGCTTTGAATCTGCCAAGTCAATCACATTGAGGAGTGGACAAGAGGTAGGAACTAATCCACAACCATCCAAATCAAGTCAAAAAGAGGACAAGAAGTTGCAATTTGAAGAGGAGGAACAAGACAATGCCATGGCAAGGAAGGAAACAACCTTGCCGCAACCTCCTACACCACTTAAACCGTCCACCACATGTAAGATAGTTCCAAATTTTGTTAATTCTAACCATATTCCACCTAATGTACCTTTTCCTCGTAGATTTATGCAATTAAAAAAGGAAGAGAATGATAATGACATTCTTGAGACGTTTAGGAAGGTATAAGTCAATATCCCACTCTTGGATGCAATCAAACAAGTCCTGAAGTATGCTAAATTCTTGAAAGAACTTTACACAACAAGGAAAAGGATTTCGAACAAAAACATGGTAAGGGTAGGTGAGAATGTTTCAGCTGTCTTGCAACGCAAACTACCCCCTAAATGCTAAGATCCCGGTAGCTTTACAATTCCTTGTGTGATTGGCAATACTCGGTTTGAACATGTCATATTAGACTTAGGTGCATCCATTAATGTCATGCCCTATTCAATTTATGCATCTATGAACTTAGGTGAGCTGAAAAATGATGGAGTGATTATTTAATTAGCCGATCGATTTAATGCTTATCCAAAAGGAGTTTTGGATGATGTTTTGGTGCAGGTTAATCACTTAATCTTTCCGGTTGATTTCTATGTGCTTGAGATGAAAGATTCGACTCATTCTTCTCCATTGCTGATTCTACTTGGAAGACCATTCATGAAGACAGCTCGCACCAAGATTGATGTGTTCAAGGGAACGTTGACAATGGAATTTGATGGTGACATTATTGACTTTCAAATTTCAGAAGCCATGAGGTACCTTAGTGATGATCACTCTTGTTTTTTTGTTGATATTATTGATTCATTAGTGCAGACACATCTTGAACAACTACATGAGGATGCATTTGAAACGGTCATTACAAATGGAATGAGACTAAAAAATCAAGAGGTGGTAATAAACCACACCCACGACACAATTGAAGAATTTCATGCCGTGCCCCCTTGTGAAGAAGTAGCTGAGATGGTGGTTGCCCTAAAATTGCTGCCACAACAATATGGTAAGCTTCCAATCCTAATTTCAGATTTTGTTTTTACTAATAAGATGCTTCCTTCAGTGATACAGCCATCATCCTTTGAACTCAAACCATTATCAAGCCATTTGAAGTATGTTTTCTTGGGAGACCACAAGACTTTGCCCGTCATAATCTCATCCACACTCACGGCACAAGAAGAAGAAAAGTTGGTGAGGGTGTTGAAGGAATACAAAACAGCCATTGGCCGACAAGGGTATAAGTCCTACAACTTGCATGCATCGTATACTCTTGGAGGAGGGGGCTAAACCATCTCGAGAAACTCAACGTCGACTCAACCCTTCAATGATGGAAGTAGTGAAAAATGAGATTATCAACCTACTTGATTGTGGAGTGATCTATCCAATCTCTGATAGTCATTGGGTTTCATCGATCTAAGTTGTTCCTAAGAAATCTAACGTCACTGTGGTGAAGAACGAAGAGATTGAACTTGTGCCTACCCTTATCCAAACCAGTTGGAGAGTTTGCATTAATTATAGGAAGCTCAACGCCACCACAAGGAATGATCACTTTCCTTTGTCGTTCATTGACCAAATGCTTGAAAGGTTAGTTGGTTATGCATTTTATTGTTTTCTTGATGGTTATTCAGGTTTTAATCAGATTGTCATAGCACCAGAAGATCAAGAAAAGACCACTTTCACGTGCCCATTTGGTACATTTGCTTATCGTCGCATGTCATTTGGTTTATGCAATGCA